TCTTTTATTGCATGTAAGTATGCAGACATATGTTAGCAGATCTCCATTCATGGTTTTACAGTGTGACCCACAAATGTTAGGGAAAATTAGGGTGAGACAATCATAATTGATAATGACTCAGAAAAATTTTTATTTAGAGAAAAGATGTAACTTCTTTTTCCGAAATTATTGCAAATAACCACTTCAAAAGAACAATATCTGATGGTATCTCCCTTCAAAAATAATCTGCTGCACAATACAGCTTAATTAGAGGACTTGTACAGGGAACTGAAGTAAGGGATGAGTGTAATCAAATAGAAAAGGACAGCGAGAGATAACAGAAATGTAAAAAGGGGAGCATAAAATAGTAAATTGTGATCACCATCCTGGGCTATGATATAAATGGTATTTCCTATGGTGTGAACATCCCTTCCAAAACTCATGCTGAAATCTACCTGCGATTGAAATAGCTTTCAGAGATGAGACCTTCAGGAACTGTTGTGACCATGTTGGCTTTATCATCGCGAGTGAACTATTACCATCATTGTTTCGGGAGTGGTTCCTAACAAAAGCAATCAATCCCATGTGAACCCTGTCTTACCATAATTTACTCAGCTTATAAATTGCCCAGTTTGTGTGGCTTCTCTTTTTTTTTTTTCTTTTGTTTTTTTTTTGTTTTTGTTTTTCTCCGGAACCAGGAACCGAACTCACGACGTTGCGCTTGCTAGGCAGGCGCTTTTGCCGCTGAGCTAAATCCCCAGCCCTTGTGTGGCTTCTCAAAATAAAATAGAATAATGTTGAAACAAACAACTCACTTTTGAACTCTGTTGTAGTAAAACCCAATTTTCCCTTTGTATTGTGTGAGAGTAGAGACCAAAATAAAGAAACGGGATTCATAAATTTTAGTTCCAGCCTTGACTGATGTGTCTATTTGACCTTCGTTTTAATTCTGTAAGACTCAATTTATATTGTTTTTAAAAAAAATAAATGCAGATAAAAGTAATATATGCTTACTCTGGGCAGCTTTGAAAATGAATAATGGTATAAAAAGCAAATATAAATCACCCATCCAGAGATAACCACTATTAATATTTTGATATATACCTTCCATTCTTTTCTCCTAATGAATGTGCCTGTTTATACTCTTTTTTCCTTCGATTCATGAGCCTTTCCACCTCTCTTAAATATTCTGCTAAAGTGCCCTTTTTATTATATGAATAAATATGCCAATACATATTCTATGTTTATCTTCCTCATATTTTGGAAGTTTAGATGGCTTCCAAATTTTTTACTATTCTATATAATAGTCAAATGAAAATTTCTATATATAAATCTTTGCATTTATGACTACTTACCTAGGCTGTATTCCATAAAAAGAAGATTACAGGGTCATAAAATATGACCTTTCTGACAGGCTCTTGATAAGAATTCCCAAACTGCTGGAGCCTCAGTTTATTGGTAAAATGAGAAGCTTGCTTTAGGTAATTTCAAAGGTGCTTCTCTCAGCCGTAAAATTGCATGACTTCGTGACTTTTCGCCAGCACGTGTGGATTTCATGTTAAGAAGCTTATGATTCATTAATCATATAATGTTTTCTGACACAATAATAGCTTGAAAACAATACTGGGTTCCTGGTTATTTCTATATTTTTAAATGGAAGACTTGGGGATTGATTTGTTAGGCTCCCAAAGCTGAGTCTGAACCAAAGATTCATTTATAAATGATTTAATAAGGAAACATTCCTAGGTAAAAGGGTAAGCATACAGAAAATACAAAACAGGAAATGAAAAGAAATCAACAAATAGTGTCACTGTTGCTGAAGTCCCAGGTTCAGTGACATAAAGACCTATTTATCCTATTTCCTCTCTTTAACTTAGACATGCATTTTTATGTCATTAGAGTGAGAATTTTCATACGTAGACAATGTCTGCTATTTGGACTTATTGTTATCAAAATTCTTATACCCAAATAGAAAAGTAACTCTGGTATAGTGTGAGTAATTTACTATTTAAAGTTGTGCAAATTTCTTGTTCCAAAATCATATGTAAGGGAAAATGGCACATCATTATAAAACCATAAATACTGATTTATTCTAGCTCCACCCTCTCCAAATCATTCACTTTCTCAGATACGTGAAATTCCACCCTTAACCCCTCTGTTCAGGCTGTATTCTCTATTTGGGAGTTTCTTTCTTACTCTTTGCACTGCTAACCTCACTCTATCTGTTAGAATTTAGAACACAGCATTCACTTTGCTTCTTTTCCTTTCCCTCGCCATCTATCTGTAGTAGATTCTTCCTGTCATGTGATACCTTGAGTGTTTACATGATGCTGCATCTTATATTATAAGGATTTTATTTGTCCATTTATCTCTTTTTCGTTTGTTTGTTTTTAACATTTCATTTACACATAAAATAAAATGTATTAAAATTGAAAAAAACAGTCCCATTGGGAGACAGTTCCACAGTTTCATGTAAGCAAAATGTTAAAAACCAACACTTTGCAGAGAGCCTCTGAATCCAGGTTAGTGTGATATTTCCTCAGACCAAAGTTCCAATGAGAAATTTTTGTCATAACTGTAATTAAAGGACTGCTGAGTTCTTCTTAGTATATCATATTAAAAACACTTCATGTTAATTTGTGCCATTGGTGGTGTTACATTTTCTCTCTACATTAAGAAGACACCTGCAATGTTCCTCCACTGTAAATTTAAATCATTTTGTATTTTAAGTAATTGACAACTATTTTTTCTGAGATGAAAAACAAAATACTTTCCTTCATAAAAGTTTTACCCTTGTAATTTGAATATCCACTGTTACTATCCATTGTCACTTAATAATTTTCAAACAGTGATTTTTTAATTGTATTGTTCGTTCTATTTTATTCATGAGAATTCTAATATTTAAAAGATTTCAAGGTAGAATTCTACTATAAAGAAGATTTTCCTTTCTTTAACTTAGATATGCATTTTTACGTCATTAGTATGAGAATTTTCATACATTGACAATGTCTGCTATTTGGACTTACTGTTATCAAAATTCTTTTACCCAAATAGAAAAGTAACTCTGGTATAGTAATGTGTAATTTACTATTTAAAGTCGTGCAAATTTGTTGTCCCAAAGACATATGTAAGGGAAAATGGCACATCATTATAAAACCATAATTTGGGTAAAACCTTCATGCAACTCAGTCATCTTTCATTTACCCCATTTAAATTTAGAATTTAGAGAATAATGTCAGTAAAGACATTCCAAAAGTAAACAAGTAAAAGAACATTTTCTCAAAATTCTATTTTAATTTGTGCTAGAATTTATTATCTTCAGATTCTATGCCTTTTTACTGATTTTCACATGGGAAAAAATCTATTAAAATTGATGAAAATTTTAAAATTTGCTATTATGAGACCTTACAGAATATAATGTAGTATCTATGCACTATAAATCTATTTACCATATAATTCTAATATTTTTAGTCATTGTTATCTTATATATTACTGTCTTCCATTTACCTTGTGATATATTGCACATTCTACTGGTAATTTTTAAATCATTTCCTTGGAAATTTGTATTTTCTATAAATTGTGATTTCCCCATGACAGTTTTGTTGTCTGTGAACCTCATTTTATCTACAAGTAGCAACAAACTCTTACTTTTACTTCAAACATTGAGAAAATTTATCTCCCATGAAAAGAAATTTAGAGATTATTGATTTTGCAGTTTACTAGCATTATCAAAGATTCAGGATGTTGTTGATTTGGGGAGATTTTTTATTTTGTTTTGTTTTGATTTTTCATTTTGTTATACCAACACTGAACGTTAGCTTTATTCTGAAATGAGTTCCATGCATGGGACTGATTGTGTCCACACCATTCCTAAACCAAATCCTGGCAAAAGAAAAAGTTTATATGACTAAAGTAGGTTCATCAGGACTTATACCTGAAAGGGAACTGTTCATAGATATGGAGTTAGATGTTTAGGGTTCCAGATAAATGAAATAACACAGAAATGAGTGCTGCATAAGCAGCACAATATATCTGCTTTGGTGACTCAGGTAAGTACACAAAATACCAAAAAAAGAGTCAATAAATGTTATATTCTTTTTAAAGTGATATAAGAATTCTCTCTAAGCTTGTGACGGCATAGTACAATGAGCTTGTACTGCCTTCCAGGCTTTATTTTGTTACTTTCCATGATGATACTTTTTTCCTGCTAGCAAAAGTATTTTAAGTTGCACCCTGGAGAAGTCAAGGATAAACTTCTGTTTTCATTAATATGCAATATGTATTTGAGTACTTTTGTTATTCATATATTTTATGGATATTTGCACTCAGTTCATTATGATCTTTTATGGGTGTGAATGTATGATTTACAATATTTACTGGGGCTATGTAATGGTTTTATTATGCAGGCATGTTTAAGGTAATAAAACTACAGCACCACCTCACCTTGAGAGTCTCTTGCTGTTGCTAAGTCTTTTATTAAATTTTCTGTGGCTATGATACTTAGCTCCAGTGACATGATTCCCTGTGGAACAAGATTCTGGGGTATTGCAGCTCACAGAATATGAGCCAATATGATTCCCCTGTTCTCCATGTCAGGTGTAGCAGTTTCTGAAATCAGATTTGAGACATCAGAGGTTATTTGTGCTTAATGTCACACCCCAGCACATTTGTCCAACTACAATGAGAAATACTTAACAATGAAGATATGTATGCCTCATTCCAATGGCATTTCAGAAAACTAAATTCAAATTTTCTGGCAGTGGGCTGTACTTTTTGGAAGTCCATTTCTTCCAAATCTTCCTCCATCATACAGAAAAGGTCAACTGTAAATAAAACTATGTAGCAGTCATTTATCATACTTTGCACTCTGAATAACTCCTAATGGTTAACATAATCAAAATATTTTTATGCTAAATCAGTATCCCCTTCTTGATTACCAATATTTCAGTGCTGTTACACTTAATAATCACAAAGATAAATCTCTATGAAGAAAAGTATATGGATTGCAATCTATTTGCATTCAGTGCACATACTTTGTAATACAATCTCTTACAAACAGGAGAAAATTGCATCAAGACTCTTCATGGAAACAGACACTCCCCCAAAACATCTATAGTCGTTTCCTGGTGTGTGGATGTGGACTGATTCCAGAAATCCCTGTAGATACCAAAATCAATGGATGTTGATGCCTGTCTGTAAAATGGCACTGATTAGCAAACAACTTTCAAAGACCTTCCTGTATGTCTTAAGTTATCTGGAGCTTATTTATGATGATATTCTGCAGCTCATTTATAAAATTTAATTGTTATATAAATAGTTGTTATACTGTATTAGTTAGGGAAAATATAAGAAAGATCTGAGGCTCCAGATAAAACTGAGCTGTAGAATACTTGCCTAGCATATTCAAAGATCTGGGTTTAGTGTTCACTGCAACAGAACACTGCCAAGAAAAGAAAAGAGAAGAATGAAAAAAAAAGAAATGAAAAGGAAAGGAAAATTCAATTTAGACACAATTTTTTTTTTGCTTCATAGATTGTAGAATTCATTGGTTTGGAACCTATAGATATGAATTAATTATATTAATGGAAATATTAAAGAATACCCTTTTATTTTTCACAATATAATATTTGCCAAGTATGTATTTCTACGATATCTGTATATTTTGTTTGATATATCATATATAAATATATAAATAATTAATATATAAATAATTTATTATCTAGAATATATAAATAATTAAATAATATATAAATAATTTATTTTTATAGTCCCTGAAAATTTGGTTAAACTAAAAATTAAGAGAAAGGACATGATCTTTGGAGAATGTATTAAATAAAATGTGGAAACTAAAACTAAAATATATTTTTAAGTGTCAATATAATATTCTCAAGAAATATTTTTCTTTTATTTTTATTTCATAACTGAAGGAGTAAACCCATGCAGTGTTATAGATAAAGACAAAAATGAAACACATCTCTTAGAGCAATGACACAGGACAAGCAAAAGAAAGGATAAAAATTAAAAGTCAACAGAATCCAGGATACAGTGCCCCACCTCCGGCCATCATGGTCCATGTCTGAGTCCCGGAGGAGCCAGGTCAGCTCCATCAACTGCCTGGGGATTCCGGATCTGCACCTGCCTCCTGCTACCATCACTGCCTCCTAAGTTATGGAAACAAACCAAATGCACATCAAATGAAGAAAAAATAAAGAAGATGTGGTACTTTTATATAATAGAATATTGCTCAGCTATAAAGAAAGATAAACTCAAGGCTTTTATAGGTAAATGGATGCCACTAGTGACCATACTCATAAGTGAAATAAACCAGACTCACATATGTAAACATTGTATTGTCTCCCAAGTGTAAGAACCTCAAGGAGTATATAAAATCTGAAATAGGTACAATAGATGTTGTGAAAGGGAGAGAAACTGCTCAAAAGGAAAGAATGACTTGGATGAGGGGAAAGAAAGAAAGAAGGGAAAAATATGTATGCATGTGTATATATATGTGTGTATATATATATATATTAGCTAAGATAACTGTAGTACTAATTTCTATTGTTTTCTTGAAAGGAGAAGTTACTGTTTAATTGTTTGATCAATCTTACATGTCTACAATTGTTTGTCTGAGTAACCAATTTGAACATAGCAATTTGTAATACAACAACCATTGTTAATTTCCTATCACCTTGTCTGAAATTCGGTATTGTTTTTATGTTATTTTGTTTATGTCTTTGTTTTTTTTTTGTTTTGTTTTGTTTTGTTTTGGTTTGGTTTGGTTTTTCTCCGGTACCGGGAACCGAACTCACGACCTTGCACATGCCAGGCAGGCGCTTTTGCCGCTGAGCTAAATCCCCAGCCCCTATGTCTTTGTATTTGTTAATTTGTTCTTGTTCTTTTCTCTTTAAAATAAAAAAGGAGTCCACGGAGGAGCAAAATAGCTTAGTTGAAGGCAGAAAAGGATAAACAGATTTTATCTTCAGACATTATTGGTTTAATCATGCATCCACTCATTCATGCAAATCTATGTTGTTTTGGGCCATCGATGAAACTTTTCAAAGCCTCATTTCCCTTATAAGTAAAATAAAGATGATAGTATGTACCTTACTTTTTAATTGTGAAATTAAATATGATATTTGCACCTTCCTTGTAGTGTTTGCCATTCTGTAAATTTCAGTTAATGGTGGATAATATTTAACATCTATATTTTGAAAATAATCCTTAATGGTATAAACATTTACAGAAGTAAGTGGCTGCTGACGAACTGCTGAGAGAGGAACAGTGTTATGAAATCTGAAGTTCAAGAATTTTTTATAGCTGATATGTAAAATTGCAAGTTTGAGTGATTTGGTGGCAATCGTGGAAATTATATGACCATAAAAGAAGTAACACACAATGCGTTTAATGGGCACTTTTGTATAGAGCCATATGATAGGAGAACAAACTGCCATAGAATAAAACAATGGTCATCCAGCCAGAAAGATAGCAGAGCAAAGAAACTTCCATAGGAGGAGGCCAGAGAGAAGGCTTATGTAGAGGTGGTGTTGCTCCACATCCAATAGGGAAGCTTCAGGTAAGAGAAATCTGAAGAGCAATGGCAGCTCAGGGGTTTGCAACTAGAAAACCCTATCTTATCAATAGCTCATAGCCATCCTGTTTAGTTTTATAAGATATGCAAGGCAATACATTTGTATAGATAAAAACCTTCCAATTTGGATTATTTTTAAAACACATCAATGCCTAGAAATCTGACCTTTGTCCTTGAGCTAATGGACTTTAAACTGAAGATATAGATAATCTAGGCCACTTCATTCAGATGCCAACATTGGCTTATTTATATAATGGAAATATCACACTGTACTGCAACAGCAAATTGAAGGGTCTGTCAATTAGGAGTTCTGCTGAATCTATTCATAATCTAACTTGTAAAAGAATATGTTTTAACTGAGTTTCTGGTTGTGTGTAATGAGTGAGTCAACCTTTACCTCAATTAATATCATAAGTATAATTACCTGACTTTAACTCTAAAATTTTATAGGAGAAAATACCCATGGTAAGATATTTTAGTAGACTAATTTAGCAAAAGTCTATAGGCTCTTAAGGGTAAGGGAAATTTAAATATTTCTATGATGCTTAAATCTAATTATATCCACTTGACTGACTTGGGAGCTGCTGAGGAAATTAGTAAAAATACTTTTGTGTATGACTGGATTGGTCATAGAGGCATGACCTCAGGTATAACACTCAGTCTCTTGCCCTTTCCTCTCTGACACCATTCCCTGCTCTGATGAAATAAGCAGCTTTGCTCTGCCATGCCCTCCTCTCATGATTTTCCTGTAGTGGAGGCAAAAGATAATGAATCCTTTGAACTCATGAACCAAATTAACCTCTCCTATTTTAAGTTGTGGTTGCTGGATATTGTGTCTCAGAACTGCAGGAGATGAAGCAAAAAATTAGTACCAAACAAGATGGTTTGTTGCTGTGACTGTAACTGTACCTGACCTTGTGGCTCAGAAGCATTTGCAACTAGTTTGCTGGAAGAGTTGGTAAAGATAGGAAGTGTGGGCTAGAGAAACAAGTCTTAGAATGCTGAAAATAGAACTGATTGTATGATTTGGGTCAGACCTCAGAAAACAAATGCTGATAAGAATGTAGACAGTAAAGGCTAGCCTCAGAAGGTTTTATTTGGAAATGAAGACTCCATTGGTATTTCAACTTGAGGTTATACACTGGCAAAAAAATTTATGTATGCTTGGTTTGTGTAATGAGATTTTGCAGGAGACTGGGATTAAGAATGGTGAATTCATTGATCTGGCTGAGAAAATTACAAGACAGCTCAAAATTAGACTTTGACAAGGGTACTGATGGCTGCTTTGAGCCAAATTTATTGGATGAATTAAGGGTAAAAAGAAAAGCAGACAGAAAAACTGAAAGAATTACATTTTGATCAAAAGGAACTACTTATAAATTCAGATTGAAATGAGGTGTGGTTTATGAAAAGCTAAGCACTATTAAAAATAAACCAAGTAACTTAAATAGAGACAAGAGGAAAAGTACCATGGAGGAGGATTAAGAATTAGCAAAACCCCATTCATCACAAGTTGAAAGGGACAAAAGTGCACACATTTCATTTGAGAAGACCACTCCTAGTGCCACTGCTTGAAGAACTACATATGGAATTGTTTTGCTAGCACTGATTTCACCACACTCAACTATACAGGTACTCAGTATGTGCTACTGCCATGGTACAAGGGGGCCTGGGTACTGTCTACTCTGGTGGAGGACTTTGGCAGCATCTGAGGTATATTTTATCAAAATGCAAAATCCAAGATTCATGGGGTAATCAAGGATTCCATCTATATTTTAAAAGAAGGCCTGACTGGCCAGACAAAAAGGAACAGAGTGCGTGACAATGTGGAAATGCAGAAAAAGGTGCACTGGAAACCATAGGAATTTATAGACGAGGAACATGGAACTTTTGTAAGGAATGTTAGTCTGTGAGTGGATCCAGCCAAAGAGAGACACCATGCATTCTGCAGACTACAAAAGAAATAGAGCTGGGGTGGCTCAAGCGCTCTGGAATTCACATCTTGCCAATACGTGCCCCAAGTGATACATATACATCTACTGGACTTAATGCTTATTCTAGTGCATTTTGGTGTTGCTTTGGTCATATTAATTTTTGTCTCCTTATTCCTTCCCTTTGGAATGGGAATGTTTACTCTGTGTTTCTTTGTGGGCTTTATTGTCTTGGTTACTTTTCTCTCACGGCTGAGAAAAAAATTACCTGATACCCAAAATTGAGGACAGAAAGGTTTATTTGGCTCACAGTCTGTGCAGATTTCAGTCCACATTCAACTGGCCCCAAGGCAGGGTGGTACATGGCAGAGGGGTAACAGCTTATGGCAGTGGAAGATAGCAGAAGCTAGCAAAAGCAAAAAGCAAGCCTCTTCCTCCCTCACTGTGTATGTAGGCTACCTGCCCTAGGGCAAATGTAGAACTCACAGTGCCAATCCCAACACTACACAATGAACCAATCACAGACTCTACACTCAGCTGCCTCCAAAACGTCCACGTCACATGACCATGTGAGGCTACAGCGGTTTAGAGAAATAAATTCATTACCAAATAAAACCAACCATTCTTGGTTTTAGGTAGGATAGTGTGACATTTTAGGTGGAATTATTAATTTATTATTATATTAATTTGAACATTAAATACAGTTTAAGGGGGTGTTTGGGTGTCAAGTAGACAAAGAATAAGATATGACAGTTATAATTAGTTATGTCAACTTGATTTGTTTAGAAACTACTTAGGGAATTAGCAAAGCCCATTTCCATGTGTGTATGTGAGTCATGGAGGCTTGGCCTTGAGTACTATATCTGATGATTCACCACTTTCTCCCTGGTGCTCTACTCCTGCTCTATTTCTCAGTTGTCATGAACTGTGCAACTTGCTATGTATGCTTTTATGCCATGATATTCATGCACTGCAGTGGCCAAACATAAACTTAATACTCTGAAACTGTAAGCCAGAAAACACCTGTCACCTTTTAATCAGTGAGGGTAGGGTATTATATTCCATCACCATGAAATCTTGCTAATACAACTTCCCAAAGTAATAGCACACATAGGAGGTAAGATGAACAGTGTGGTAGAAGGAATAATAGCCTCCCAGTGACGTTCACACCCTAATTCCATAACCTGTAATTTACATGAAAACATGTGAACTCAAAATGGGATGAAGTTAAGGATTTTGAGATGAAGATATTACTCTGATTGATCTACTGTAAGCCCCTTCATGAAGATAAAAAGAGGAGGGTCAGAGAGAGGATAGAGGACGTGATGCCAGAAGTAAGGGGGAGGTAATTAAATGGGTATTGAGGAGGGAGTTATAAGCTAAAGAATGCAACCTCTATTAGATGTAAAAGGCATAGAAATAGATTCTCCTCTGGTGTGTCCAGAATAATCCAGCTCTTTTAGCATCTTGATTTTATATTGACTTATTTTAATACTCTGACTTGCATAATAATTTTTGTAGCTTTAAGCCACTAAGTTTGTGATAGTTTGTCATAGCAGCAATAGGAACCTGATACATTGTTAATATTTTTAGGGAAATGACAGAATATATCTTCAAGTTACAAAGAAATTTTATTAAATAA